ATAATTCATGGAAAACACACATAGTCATGCATATACACATAGATCTACACAAATCAACTTGTATTCTCCCCCAAAAACTAGTAAAAACCAAAAACAAGAGGGTATGAACTCACCTTGTTTGAAGATTTCGGATTTTGATGAAGAAATGAAGAGATCTCGACTTTAGCAAGCCTCTTGAGGAGGTTTTTGAACTTTGATGGTTCTAATGAACATGATCCACAAAATATGGTGGTAAGAGGAGATTTTTGAAGAAATCAAGAAGTTAAATCATAGATCTAAGCAAAAACTTACCAAAGATGATGATCTAGGTGGAGATCCTCTTGAAACTACACACCAAACTCGAGATTTTTTTCATGGAAGAAGGAAGAGGTTTTTGAGAGTGTTTGAGAGAGTTTTTAAAAGAAAAATGGAGGTGTGTGGTGGGGAATTTCGGCCTAGGGTATAAGAAGATGGAGAAAGAGAAGAGATGGAGGTGATGTTTGCATGGATACCCACCATGCAAACATGAGGTGTCAAGGCTACATAATTCCTTCATTTCTCTCTTTTTTTGTCTAATTATTCCTTTGGGCCAAGAATTTGGGCTATAAGGAATGAAATGATTTGGTTTGGGCTCCTTTTTCTTGGCTTGCTCGAATTCATTAAGTGTAATAATATTTTTTCGGCCCATTGGGCTCTTAAGTTGATTCACGGCCCAACATGGTAAAAAGGAATGGGTTTATGGCCCATTAAGGTTAATTAAGTCATTTATGGACCAACAAGGCCCATTAGGGTTAGGATGAATCATTCTAGACCCAAATGGCCCAAAATGTTAGAAATTTATGAATTGGGTTCAATAAGAGAGTCCTAGTCCATAAGGAACTTGAACCGGGATTTCTAGGGTTTCCAATCCTTATTTGAACACATGAGATGTATTTGAATGAGAATAGAGCATGATATTCACTTAGATTACATGTCTTTCGATAGTTGAATGGTTACATGAGAATAGAATTTCCTAGCAAAAATGCTAGGTGTGACAGAAACCAAGAGGTTTAGAACCCGGAGGCAAATCAGACAACACTCATGTGTTGTTCTCAAGAATTGATGACATTTCATCATCAATTACTTCTTTCCAAAATGCATTATCATGAGACTCTATGGCCTCTTGATATGTCTTAGGATCATCTTTAATACTATAGCAACAAGAGTATTCAAGATTAATTTCATCTCTTGAACCTTTCACCAAATATAGTTGGAAGTCGGATCCAAAAATTTTCGCAATTTGGCCTCTTTTGCTTCTACGAAGATGTTGTGGTTCTTGCACGATACCACCATCTTGAATTTCTGAATTTTTGCTATTTATTAGCACCAAAAGTCAGATCCTTAGGCCTTTGAATCGATGAAAACCACATCTCATCAAAAATTGCATCCACTGATTCAATAACAGTGTTAATTGAAACCGAATCATTAGGTTCTATTACATAAAACCTATATGCCTTGGAATGTTCAGAATATCCAATGAATATGCAATCAATTCCACGTTCTCCCAAAAATTTCTTTTTGGGCTCGGTGAGTTTTAAAACTGCCCGACATCCCCAAACCCGAAAATAACTCAAATTCGGCTTTTTCTTGAACCAAAATTCATATGAGACTGTTTTGTTCCTTTTATTTGGAACCCTATTTAACAAATAGCAGGTCGTTAATATGGCCTCTCCCCAGAATCCTTCACTCAATTCCGAGTATGATAACATCGAGTTTACCATTTCCTTTAAAACTCGATTTTTGCGTTCAGCAATACCATACTGTTGGGGTGTGTAAGGTGTCGTGGTCTCATGAATGATACCCACTGACTGAAAATATATGGGATCCATATATTCACCTCCTCTATCAGTCCTGAGACGTTTAACCGGAATGCCCAATCGCAATTCCACCTCGGTTTTGTATATTTTGAATTTATCTAAGACTTTATCCTTAGAATGTAACAAATACACATAGCAAAGCCGAGTGCAGTCATTAACAAATGTGACTACGTACTTTTTATTTCTCAAAGAAGGAGTTGAGTGAAAATCACACAGGTCACTATGTACAAGTTCCAAAACAATTGAATTTCTAGTGACACTAGGAAAGGGTTGTTTTGTTACTTTTTTAAGCTTGAATGTTTTACATTTATCAGATGTCATATCAAAGGCTGGAATTAATCCATCTTTTGACATCTCATGCGTTCTTCTAAAGTTGACATGACCTAATCTTACATGCTAAAGCATAGATTTATCAACATTAGAAGCAGAAGATACAAATGCAAAATATTGAACAGGTAATAATTTGTCAAGAATATTCAAACGAAACATTCTATTATTTAAATATCCAAAGCCAACAAACATTCCACCTTAGACAAAACAAACTTATCCCACTCAATAACTTGTTTAAAACCATCAGAATTCAAACAACTAGAGCTAACAAAATTCTTGCGAATCTTGGGAACAAACAAAACATCAAATAACCTAATTGTCTTTCCATAAGTAAATTCAAGACATACGACACCAAAACCGCAAATAGGAATAAAAGAATTGTCTCCTATTTTCAGCACCGGCCCATCTTTAAGCGGAGTTAGTGTTTCAAACATCCGTTTATCCTTACATACATGGTTCATTGCTCCGGAATCGATCCACCAAGCAACATCATCATCCTGCGCATAGAATGATTCAGGGATAAATGAAACATAGTAAACATAATTCTGATTAGAATTATGAAAGTTAGTCAAAAACTGACCTCCTTTAACTTGGGCCGAAGACCTGTTCACTTTCCCATTGGTTCCACTGTTTCCAGCACCATTGTTGCCTAAATTCACACGAAAATCACGCTTGCAATGCCCAACTTGATTGCACCTCCAACAAACCAGATCCTTACTTTTTTTGTTGGAGTTGCTTGGGACATGTTCCTGTTTACGTTTGCCATGTCCATTGTGGTTCTGATTCTATGGTTTTTTTCAACCATATGAACCGAGGGCTATCCAGATTCAACCTTTCGCTTGGGTTTTTCAGATTTGTCACTTTCCTTCGCGCGAAGAGATTCTTCAATACGAATGTGACTAGCAAGTTGAACCAAGGACAGTTCCTCCTTTTGATGTTTCAAGTTGTGTTTGAAGTCTTTCCATGATGGAGGCAGTTTGTCAATGATGGTTGACACATCAATGGATTCATCCATATTCATACCGTGCAGTTTAAACTGACCGTATATGACAAGGAGTTCATTGTATTGTTTAGTGACAGAGCTTGAATCATCCATCTTATAATTATTAAAGTCACTGACCAGAAAGTTCTTGCTAGAAGCATCCTCGGTGATGTATTTCAGTTCAAGGGTGTCCCACAACTCCTTGGCACACAAGGCTTCACTATGGATATCAAATAAAGCATGAGACATACCGTTCAGAATGTGACCTTTGCAGATGTAGTCATTATTGTCCCACTTTTGTCTCCTTCTTATCTCTTCAACCGTCTCAACAACACCTTCCGCAAGCTCTGCTGGTCTTGGAGTAGTCAGCATGTATGCTGCTTTCAGAGTGGTGAGCATGAAGTGCATCTTTTTCTTCCAACGCCTGAAGTCGAAACCTTCGAACTTCTCCAACTTGGCAAACTTAGTGGTCATCTCACAGATTAAGTCACCCATCTCCAGAAACAGGAGATATCAGTTCGATTGCTAGACAAACTGGGTTTATGGTGGAGATATGGATACCAACTTGGATCGTGAGAGCACTTTCCGAACTGATATTTCTACCCTATGCTTGGGTTGCAAGAAATTCAGCCTAGGATAATCCAAGTGGACACTTACGATTCTAGGCACAGAAATCATAAGCCAATTTGCTAGAAAGATTCTGTGAAAGTTTGAAGAAAACGAGAGCTTAATTTCGTCTCCCTCTTCTGAGACGGAAGAGCCGTTTATATATTAAACGAGATTAGGATTTTATTAGGGTTGGGCCGTCATTAATTGCTTTGGAAGCAAGTCAGGATAATTTAGATTTGGTTTACCAAAACTAACGAGTTTCGTTAGTTTTACCATAATCACCCTAAAAATTTGAATTTTCCACTATGTTTCCATATGTAAAATTCGGTGAGGTTTTGGGGCGCTGCCCCTAGACCCCACCAAAGGGGAGCTGCCCCTGTGGAAACCCCGGACCCAAGGGTGCTGCCCCCGGACCCCCGACTAGTCGTCAAACCGGCTTCTAATTCGATCTTATACATGCGTGCACTCCGCACAACCCCGTACATATATAAGAGTACAAATTATGAAGCCCCTTAGCTCACATGTTGGTTCCAGTTACTTAAAGTGACACGGTGAAACTAAAATCACCAACATATTTCAGGATCATACTCCCGTTAACCAACTGTTGACCAAGTCAAAAGGGGCTTTAACCGTTGTTGACATTCAACCCTCTACCCTCTAGTGATATCCTTGGAGATCTTTTACGTTAACAAATATGCAGCATACATGTAAACCAAGTAACAAACTCTAACGGAAAATATGTATTCATTGGCAACCTGTTCTGTCTTTTTTCTTTTAATGCTTTCCATGTAATTCACATCTTTTGCTTATGTACCAAGGTTATGAATGTTTACTTTCAAATGCAATGCATTTTCCCATATACCGACACCCTGTTGACTTGATCCAGAAAAAAAAATACTTCCTGACCCATGCGGAGCATGGGGCTCATCGCTAGTTGTGTTTTAAAACTCAAAGATATATATCAACTCATTCATTATTCAAATATTTAAGACATTGCATAGAATAAATAACATAAATTTTCATATGTTTTTTTCACACTTAAGTAATCCAAATTTAGAACACTGTTAATATTCTTTTATGAAATACAAGCATAAAATATATCTTATTTTATAAAATACACGCATATAAAGTATATCATTATTAATCTTGATTTGAAAACTTGTTATCTTGAAAAGGCCATTTCTTTAACAAAAGAATAGAAATTAATACTGGGCCGGGGAATTGTGCTAGTGAAATTACTTCCTTCAAGATGACAAGGTTAGAATACTTTGCTCATTCCTAAAGAAATTATTAGGATCAACCCTCGTCTTCACCATCGTTAGCCTGTTATAATTCGTATCTTTGAAATACTTGTGCCTATAAATCATCCCTTCAGCGTAAGCATTCTTGCCATGGCTGTTGACACCAATGTCCAAATCCCTGTAGTTCAGAAATGTTGCCCTAGGATTCTTAGAAACAAATGGAGTCATGTAATCATACATCATCCTTGTGAAATTCGCATATCGTTTGGCTGCTTGAACGCCAAGTTCTTCCCAGTTTACTTCATATTGAATCTTCGCTATGTTTCCTGATCGATGCGGGAAAGGCTTTGCAAATTCCGAAATTTCACTCATTCTTCCACCATATGGGTTGAAATCCAACAGTTGGTTTTCAAGTTCTTTCATCTTTTCAAATATGAATTCGAATCCTTGTTTTGAAATAGGGTCTTTCACGTAATCCGATTGGATCTTTAATGGGTTGAGTTTTTCAGCTGTACGGCTTAGAAGAGCTGTAGTTGGAGTACCGATGGAGAAGTTTCTGTAGAAAAGCACAGACTCAATCCAACTCATTTCAATACAGTCCGACTTTTTCAACCCTAATTGTGGAAAATCCTTGTTCATGAGTGTAACAAGTGCTGCCGACTTTCCTAGGTACAATGTTGGAAATGTTGCACGAATAATCTTTTTCCCATTTCTGTTGTTTATGACGTCAAAAGTCATTCGAACGAAAACGTCATTATCGAGTTTATCGGCAACTTGTATCCACCGGTGGGCGATGGTGCTGAGCTTCTGTTGTGATGTTCTTTGGATGTTAAAGACTGTCACAACGGGAGGAACACGAACCAGTTTGATCTTGTATGCTAGAATAACACCGAAGCTCACACCACCACCACCTGTGATTGCCCAAAAAAGTTCTTCACCCATGGACTTCCTATTCAGAAGCTTTCCATTCACATCGATTGATTAACTGAGCATCAACAATATTATCGACGGCGAGGCCATATTTTGTCATCAAGTTACCATATCCTCCACCACTAAAATGGCCACCAACTCCAACAGTAGGGCAAATTCCAGCGGGAAAAGCATGCGTGTTGCTTTTCTCAGCAATTCGATAGTAGACTTCACCAAGAGTCGCACCAGCTTGGATCCATGCAGTTTCATCTTCAATACTTATATTTACGGAGCATAACTTGAACATGTCAACAACGAAGAAGGGTTGGTTTGAATTGGCCACATAGGAAAGCCCCTCATAATCATGGCCTCCGCTTCTGGTTTTCATTAGCAGGCGGTGTGTTTTGGCGCACACAATAGCTGCTTGAATGTGTGAAGGATGTAAGGCAGTGATGATTAGAATGGGTTTGGGAGTCGTGGATTCATTGAAGCGAAGGTTACGGATGTAAGCTTGAAAGACGGAGGGAAAAGAGGAGTTACGGGAGGTGTAAAGTTGTTCATTGATCGGAATGTTAGGATCGAGACACTTAACACACGACTCTAAACACACACACAGCTCACGAAAAACAAGAACACAAGGATGAACATGAGGGATTTAACGTGGTTCGGTCCTTCTCTGACCTACGTCCACTGGTAACTAGGAATTTACATTTCTTGGTGCTAATCTGCACTCTTTCTGTGTTACACTAGATACGAGTTTTACAAATACAGAATAATCTATTATATAGAGATGGAAATCAGAAGTAGTCAAAAAACACAACTGGGTCTTCATTCAACAATTGTGGCTTCACAACTTCACATTGTTCCTGCCATTTTTGACCAGCTTTTCTGTGGATTCACACTCAACATTTTTGTGGATTCACACTCAACATTTCTGTGGATTCATACTCAACAATCTCCCACTTGAAGCCACGGAACAATCTTCACCTGTGCTTCAACTGTGCATCTGTATTTGATCTTAACTCCTTCCTAGTTACCCTGGCCTTCTCTTCAATTAACCTGAAGGCCAGTTGAAGCTTTCGTTAGCTCCAACACATCAGTCATGGCTAAGTCTGCCATTGACCTGTTCTCTGTCTCCATCGGCTCCCACTGAAATGAACTGCCCGATCCTGGAACATCCTGAGAACAAACGACACTCTCCATGTGAAGCAGATAATCTGGAGAGACTTTTACAGATGGAATACTGATTCTCTTAACCCACTGTGTTCTGGGTATTCTAGCTGAAACAAATCCCATGCTCCCACTGCTATGAATGCCCTTGACTGGTTTTTCTGAACCGTTCCAAACACGTTCAACCTGAATCTGATCTGTGACTCTGGGTTTGCCATCTGCAAAGCAAACCTTCTTCTGTCCACGAGACTCTATGAACCAGATTTTGTTTTTCTTCTGAACTGGGACGGTTACTCCCTCAGACGGTAAACTGACCATATATAATGAACCCCTCTTATGTCCACGAGCTATCACAAGATTTCCTTTGACAACCTTCCACTGCCCATTCCTAAACTTAACCTCGTGTCCCTGTTCATCCAACTGCCCAACAGAAATCAACTGTTTCTTCAGACTTGGAATTACCCGGACATCCTTCAAAGTCCATGGACCAACTGGAGTCTTCAAATCTAAGTCACCTATGCTCGTCACATCAAGAACCTCATAGTTCGCCAGTCTTACCTTACCAAAATCTCCTTCTTTCAGATTCTGCAGTGCTTCACGGCTGTGGGTAGCGTGAAATGAAGCACCCGAATCCATAACCCAGGAATCCACATTGCTCTCCACACTACAGATCAAAACATCATCATCTGAATGGTCTACTGCAACGTTAACTTCTTTCTTGTCTTTTGGACATTGATTCCTGAAATGTCCAACCTCTTTACAGTTCCAACAAGTCACATCATTTCGAGTCCTCGACTGACTCCTTCTCCTGTTCCCGCTCCCACTACCTCTGTTATTTCTTCTACCTCTGACCGCATTCAATTGTTCACTTGATGATTCCGCGGAATTTCTTCGTCTGACTTCTTCGCCTAGAATTAAATCCCGAATTCCCTCAAAAGTGAGCTCTTTCGATCCTGCGGAACTAGTAACGGCTGTAACTGTTCCGGACCAACTGTCAGGTAATGATGATAACAGTAGTAAAGCTTGAACTTCGTCCTCAAATTTTATTCCCACTGACCCAAGTCTGGATAAAATCGAGTTCAAATTGTTGATGTGTACTGTAACTGAACTTCCTTCCCTCATCCTCGTGTTGACTAGTTCCCGAATCAAGAAGACTTTATTTGCTGCCGACGACTTCTCGTACATATTAGACAATGCCTCCATGATTCCCTTTGCCGAGGTCTCCTTCGAAATGTTGAAGGCAACATCCTTTGACAACGTCAATCTAATAAATGCCTTGGCCTTCTTATCCAAAGTCTCCCAGTTTGCCTGTGTCATCGCCTCCGGTTTTTCACCTAAAACTGCGTCCAAGTCTTTATGCACGAGCAAATCTTCAATTTGCATCTTCCACCAACCAAAATCTTTCCCATCAAACTTCTCAATCTGAAGCTTATTGCTTTCTGCCATTTTCTGAAAGAACAATGACCTATCTTGCAATTTTCTGGAAATTCAGGGGCCAAATTGCAAATTTTCAAATCTGCTACAGTGTTACTACAGTGTCTGCTACAGTGTCTGCTGACATCACTGCTGACGTCGTGCTACAGTTCCTGCTACAGTGTCGTCTTCTCCGGCGGACTGCTATAGTGTCTGGTACTACAGTGTCGTCTTCTCCGGCTAACTGGTTTTCCCGGTCACTATTCCGGAAAACCTTTGACCGGCGATTTGGACGTCTTCCGGTGGTCAAACAATTCAGAAAAAAATATTTTCGGAATCTTCGGAACGAGACCTTTCCAACGGTATACACCAAAATCGTTTTTGATGAAAAAAAATTTCGACCAAAAACTTTAAATCACCTTCTGGAGCTACAACCTTGCTCTGATACCACTTGTTAGGATCGAGACACTTAACACACGACTCTAAACACACACACAGCTCACGAAAAACAAGAACACAAGGATGAACATGAGGGATTTAACGTGGTTCGGTCCTTCTCTGACCTACGTCCACCGGTAACTAGGAATTTACATTTCTTGGTGCTAATCTGCACTCTATCTGTGTTACACTAGATACGAGTTTTACAAATACAGAATAATCTCTTATATAGAGATGGAAATCAGAAGTAGTCAAAAAACACAACTGGGTCTTCATTCAACAATTGTGGCTTCACAACTTCACATTGTTCCTGCCATTTTTGACCAGCTTTTCTGTGGATTCACACTCAACATTTCTGTGGATTCACACTCAACATTTCTGTGGATTCATACTCAACACTGAAAAGAAGGGTCGGCTCGGTTGTTTAGACATCGAGTGAAGCGATATGTAATGGAAGTGGAAGTTGCTGAGGATTGGGAAGAGAGCAAGACAAGGAGGAATGGAAAAATGAGGTTGAAAAAAGGGATGATTCCCATTTGTTGTGATATGGTATGTATGGTTTGAGATTGATACATGCAATTAATTTATATACATAAACCAAAGTCATCTTTCCAATCCAGCAGGCCATCAGAAATGTTGAGTTAAACCTACATCAAAACTCTGATTGATTAATCAAGTCTTCAATTTTTGGGAATTGAGTTTAATGTCTTATATCGATTCAAAAGTTGTGGGTTAGAATCAAACAATATATTGATATTAGTTATACTATAATTAAAATGTAAAATCATTTTCATTTTTCATTAATTGTCTTATGATAATTTAATACATCATTTAATACTTGCAAAATTAGCAAGTTTGATGGACTAATGGCATCCACAATGCATTGAACTCTATAGAGTTCAATGAAATGCCACATCATCATTCAGTATTCCATACAACTTAATTCATTTTTATCCTACTATGCATTAAACTCTACAAGTTCAATTGAACATATTAAAAAAATATTTATTTAAAGATTTAAAGACTTTCCTTTTTCCGATTGAAGAGTTCAATGACCGTTGAACTCCAAATTCATTGAATGCCAAGGTGGCATTTTAGAATGGTAGAGTTGTATCCATTAAATGACAAGTAGGCATGACACCTCATTCAACTCTTCCATTAAACTCTCCATTGTGGATGCTCTAATTTAAACAACATTATTACTATTTGTTGTATTTTATTTTATTTTGTTTAATTGGAAAGGCAAGTACATTTAAATTATTTTTTATTTATGATTATTATTTTTTTAACAACACTCTAGATCGTAATTTTCAACAATACTTTTAACCATCATGTATACTACTTGAACGCTCAACTCTATAATATAGTAACACCTTTACAAAAATCTTCTATTTTTTGGTCAATGACCTTCTAATGATATTTTCATTTGACATTTTAATGATACTTCCATTGAGGGGGCCTTGAGGGGTGCAAAGTAGGCAGCTGCACAGGGCCCAATTTTTTTCATTATATATTTTTATTTAAAAATAAAAAAATATAATAAAGATAAGGGCCCTTTTTTTCTTATTCGTCCTGGGCCTTTGAGAATATTTAATTTTTCAGGACCGGCCCTGTTTCCATTTAAGTAATTTCTCTTTCATGCTTCCTAAATATCGTTAAAGAGTAAGATGTTTATTGTTTCATAGGAAAATGAGTTGCACTCTTCGGAACACATCTGCAAACCCATCTTGTGTTCGATTATACATATATTTTAGGTAGTTATCTTAATATATGGGATACAAACGCTATATTTAAGAATAAAATATGCTTAAAATGCTTTGAAATGAAAAAATATATATAAATTTTGTGGCTTGGAATAAAAGAAACAGATTGGATCATATTTAAGCTCATAAGGACAAAAAGCGAGAAACTACCGAAAATCTCGTGAAGGCGCAATACGCCTGGCTATATGACGCATCGTTCCCAACTGTGGTGTTCGATTACAATACAAATTAGCGATCCCACGAGGCGACATCATATTTACCGCGGGCGACATTGCATAAATCTATAAATATCCAAGATTTTAAACCCTAATTTGTTGTGCACCCTTAGGAACCTTTACTAATGGGTTAGAAGATGTTCTTAATGTCCAAAAACCATTTTAGGTAGATTTCAAGGTTAGAGAAAAAATTTGGAGGGAAGATTTGAATATTCAGAAGCTAGAAGCATTAGGATTACGAACCAGTTTGCTTAATAATCATTTTCACAATTCCCTTTTGATGTTTTTTTTTATACCAACTGGTTATGGGGCAAAACCCTTATGTTTTCACCATGTAACATAATGACTTGGGGTGATTCCATTATTCGAATAATTAGTTTTATTTAATA